CCGGTTGCAGGTGGTCTTAGTCGCAGATGTTGTATGCTCGACGCACGAGGGTTCTGTTGACGGAGGCCCTGATGCTGGGGTAGTGGAATGGCCGGTTGTTTAGGTAGCGGTCGGTGTGTGTTGGCAATGGTGTATGCTTCGGATGTGGGTACATTAGTGAAGAGAGAGACCACATAGAAGCTGACCATTATGTCTGTGGGGCGTAGAGACAACCCGTCGATGAACTGGGCGAACTGGTCCGAGTTCTTGATATGATGTGGGGTGTTGCTGACCAGAGGGTGAAGGATCTTGGTGAGGTGCCTGGCGGTGTTGTAGGTGGGGCCGCCTCGGGAAGCTACGATGGGTCGGAGTGGGATACCGGTCTTGTGTATCTTGGGCTAGCCGAAGAATCTTGGTCATCTTGTACTGGAAGGTCGAAGCTGTCGGTATAGGGCCATGGAGATGCTGTCTGACAGTTGGAGGGCTAGGAGCTTAGCCTGGAATCTCTTTTGGATGGAAGGTATGGGGTTCTTGTGAAGGGGCCGGTATGCACCCGACTCAAGAATATCCCGCACCTTACGGTCATAGTCAGCTTTGTCAGCTTTGACGGAGATGTAGTTGTGTAAAAAGTAAGACGGCAGAAACGAGAACCAGGTTTTTGAAACGTATAGACAAGTGTATTCCGCTCCCCCCTCTGTTTTAGAGGATGGAAAGTTACAGTATATGCTGACACATCTAGGGAAATAAACACTGTTACTCGTTCTGCAAGTGCATTGGGTCGGGTAAGGTTTGTAGACACATGAATCCATGGATAAGACACTAACAGCCTGCAAGGCGGTTGGTTACCGAATCTGGGGAAGCAGGAGAGGTAAATCAAAACGAGATTGTGTATTATTGCTTTTTATAAAGTCGCTTATTCAAGTAATTGTATAGAAAAGGGCATTTATCTGTGATCACTAGTGAAGTTCTGATAATTTTGTCGCACAGGGACCAGCATATGCATCGAGGCTTTACATTTATTAGTCAATAGCAATTCCTGTATTTTAAAACCAAAATGATATCTTGCGTATTGCATTTAATACGTATGTTTTATTAATTGAAAATATTCTTCGAGGCTATTTTCTAGAGATAATAATCAACATAGTCAAGTTCTCTAAAAATGTGACATTGTCTCAGTACATATCCTCATTCTTGATATGAGCACAGAGAAAAGAAATGCATACATGGAAATACATATTAGCCCCAACTCATTTAATTTAATTTAAACTGGATTAGTGTGGCTAAATGAATTGTTACATAAAATGATACCTTACCTTTTCGATTTTGTTGGGGTTTTTGTTCAAGTTCCAAGAGTGATCGGGTGATATCAGTTTCCTGAATGAAGTCATATGCGGAATATTGATGTTTGTCTTGTTTGCCCTGCTATTGAGAGATATTGAGAGAACAAGCATACAATAATGGTCGTGTCAAACGTCTCCCAAAGATACTGCCGGATTGGTAGTAGGTCTATCTTTTTTTTTCTTTCCCAATAAGTGTTGCAGGTTCCCTTCTATGCAAGTATGGCGAACAAAATTAATTTCAAATTACGAACCTATAAAGTTAAGGTGCCACAAGATCACCCAAAGTCGTGTCATTTGACACAGGTTATTGTACAACATTTGTCATTTACAGATTTTGTATTTTCGAATTCGTCCAGTGGGATCATTATTTAAACTTAATTTTGAATGAAACACAACTTTCAACTGTTGTGCAAGTTGTGCAATCGAATTCAAAGCACACTTTTTGGGCAGGGAGCGTTTGGTTTTGGGTAGCTTACACCGTACCACGTCATGCTGTACTTCTTTTTGTAATCACACAGAAACAGCTCTGAAAGTTTCCAAACGTTTTCTCTAACCATATTTAACCAACGACATTTAAATACTTACACTTAAATGTGTTTAGGTATTATAGTTGAAAACGCATCTTTCAAGAATGACCTTTAGTAACTAGAAATTTGATACCTGATAATTGGGTCGCCGTGATTTCACGCTTATATGACATCTGGGGGTATCGTCTAGAGATAAACCTCGGCAAA